CCCCCCCCCCCCCCCCCCCCAGCTCAGAGCAAGGAAGGGAGAGCGGGTCCTCCCTCTCTGCACCATGGCTTGGGTTAGCTGGGCGCAAAGCTGAGTGGGGCCAGAGATCCTGAGATCACACATACAGGGAGCCCGAGACGCCACTGGCCTTCGGTACTTCACACCATGGTGAGCCTGTGACAAGGTCTTCAGCCAGCTTGGCCCACAGTAGTGCTCTATAGACCCAGTCGATCGTCCTTCCAGGTCCTGTGTAAGTGCAGCGGGTAAGGCTGCCCATCCCATCTCTGCCTTTTGCTTTGGGAATTCTTCCTTCTTGAGATGCCCTTTAACCCTTGAGACGCCCCCTTTTCCCTGCAGACACTGATATTCCCAGCTAGAGCCTCAAATCCATATCACCGACATTACAAGATTACCCTTCAAGGTGACGTGGACGTAAAAGCTATCAGATCCCGGCACTTTAGCTCTGATGCCTGCTATGGCTCCCCATTGCCCTGCAGATGTCTGGCCTTCGGGGGCCCTTCCTGAGTGCCCCGGCTGGCCCTTCACACTACCACTTCCTACTGGGTTTCAGCCATCTTGCCCTGATGGGCAGTCATGCCACTCGATGGGATCTGACTCCCAGGTCCTCTCCCTCCAAGTTCATCCAAAGCCTCCTCAGAGCAGCCTCAACGTGCCTTCCCAGGTGGGTTCCCCACTCCTTCATTTCCACACACTGGGCTCCATGCCCACCTGCCACCCATTCCCACATGTCCCATGCCTCCACCTGAGATGCCTGGGTCACCACCCTAGCCTCTGAAATGCCACTTCCTGTTGGAGACCCACCTTGAATCCACATGCTCTGACTGGGAGTGGTCTGACCAGCCTGCTGCGTGTGGTCTGCGTCTCTCATGGCCGCCTACTGTAGACCTGGGCAACCTGGCATGGCGACACACCCTGGGCTCTGGAGCCTCACAAACAGGGACTGGATCTCACGAGCCAATCACTTAATCTCTCCGTGCCTCGACATGCTCACTTGTGGCAGGATCCTGGCACATGGCAAGCACTCGGAGGGGTCCTGTTATTTATGTCCAGGTCTGTTTCCCCAGCCAGGCCGTGAGCCCACCTGGGTCGGGGGCAGGTCCCTTTCCATGCCACATCCCCGTAGCACCCACCACAACACCAAAGGGCCTCAGAAACGCTGGCGGAATGGAAAGCATTCACCCCTGCTGCTACTGGGGTTGGGGGGAGGGATGGCGGGGGTCCTGAGCTGAGACCAGGGCAGTGGGTGGTGCAGAATAAAGCCTGGGAACCAACTGGGAGATGAGTGCGGAGGGAGGGGCTGGAGCCCCAGGCAGAGCTGCTGATATGCACTGGGGGTTTTATTGGTTTTCATTAAAATTCCTTCCCGAGGCAGGAGCAGCTACTCCCATAAATAATGGCATAAATATTTTATCTGGTGCCCAAGTCAGTCTAAATGCACGGTGAGGTTGGTGAGAATAATAATGGGAAAACAGTTCAGGGGGGTCCTGGGCTTTTCTGAACTGGACTCAGCAGGCCCAAAGGGGCTTTGTCAGGAAGGTGGGGGCTCAGGGAAGGCGCCAAGTGGGAGGCGTGGTGGGTGGTGTGGGAGAGAAGGGGCTCAGTGGGGTGTGGGCCCTGGGAGCCAGGCGAGTGGATGGGAAGAAGTGCATTCCATACCTGGCTGTGACGGCACCTTACAGGGGCCATGCACTCAGCTCACCTCATGGCATCCTCTGTGCTCAGACACGTGAGTACCTGGCCCCAGGCCGCCCACTGGTCACCGAACGTTTAAAACCAAAGCCCTTCCCACTGCGCCTACTGCCCCTTCCCTTCAGGGAAGGCACGGGAACTCGGAAGCAGTGACTGAGAACCTCAGTAACAACAGCGCCCTGTCTGCCTCCCTAGATCCCCACGGAGGAGAAGAGGGGCTGGTACTTCACCATGGCAACGCTCTTCATCAGGTCAGTCTGGGGGGCAAGGGAGGGACAGGGAGTGCCCTGGCCCGCATAGAGCCCAGGCAGGAGGATGGGGCAGAGGTGGCTGGGCCCCTCCCAGGCAAGGGCTTCCCAAGGCCCCTGCCTGCCCCTGGGAGGAGTGCTGACCAGCCATGTCCCCTTCTTGGCCACAGGCTAGATGGCATCTTTCTGGAGCTGGGCACTGAGGAGCAGAAGAGGCTGCCTGCCTTCAACCGCACGCTGGCCCTGCTCCGGCAAGTCCTCAAGTCCGCAGACCCTGGCCACCGAGGTGGGACCCTTGGGGAGGAGCAGCCTCTGGCAGGGTCTCACCTGTCCCAGCCCTGCCTGCCTCTAGCATCATGCCCATCCCTGGCGCTTTCTCCCAGCGTGGGGCCCTGTTTCTCCCTCGTCCCATCTCATAAGTCCACTCATTCTTCACCTCTAGGGGCCCAGGCACCTGGCCCGAGTGAACGAGCTGAGTCAGGTCTCTGCCTCCTCTCTGGAGTGTGAGCGTTTCCCCCTATTTCCACCTCTCACCCCGTGTTATGGCGGATTGAATGAGGGCTCTGCTGGACAGGAGTCGAGTCATTTTTTCACAAAGTCAGACAACTGGAGCAGAGACTAGAACCCCCAGAGCTGGGGGAGGGTTGGTCAGAGAGAGCTCCGCCCTTGAAGTGAGGTCCCCTAGGTGACATGGTACAGGGAGGACATACCGCCCTGTGCTCACCCCTCGCGTGGCCCCTCTCCCACCTATGTCTCTCTGTCCCTGTGCTACTCTCCGTGACGTCATGCCACTGTCCCTTTCTTTGTCCTCTTGGAGGCTGGAAACGTGAGTAGAGCCTGCTTCCTCTCTGCTTCGGCTCTCTTCCCTCTCTGCGCTGCTGCTTCCTGGAGACCCTCTCCCACCCTTCCCCTCCAGCTCTGGCCTGGTGCTACCTTGGAATGCTGCTGGAGAGGAAGGACACCTTCTCCACCACCCCCATGGGCGTCCACGACTGCGGGTACTCAGGGACCGACCCCCTGGACTGCTTCGGCAAGGTACGTGCCTTCAGCCACACCCAGTCTCCAGATGGGAAGGAGCCAGGTGCCCCGGCCTCTCCTCCCAGAACCCACTGCTCTGGGTGTCATTCCCCAACACGCGCCCTGCCCAGATGGTACCCTGACCCTAGGCCTTTCTATCCTCTCTTCATTCAAGACAACGGTGCTACATTGTCACTGTTCCTCTTTGCCTGCAACCAAGACTCTCCCCAAGCCCAGTCTGACCTAAGCACGTTCTCCAGCCTTGAAACAGACCTCAGGCGTCTCCGCTTGAGGCCTTTGCTGAAATCGTTCCGTGGTTCCTGTCAATGGCATAGTGGAAGGATAGGTCTAGCTGGGCCTCATTGCCAGCTCTGCCCACAGGCCGTGTGACCCAAAGGCAAGCCACTTAGAATGGGCACAGCAATCCGGAGGGTAAGTGCTGTGGCCCGGAGAGAACCCCTGACTCAGGCCCTTCCACCCCCTGCCCAGGGAAACGGGAGCCCACACCGGGAAGAGGGCTTTGCCTGGGCTCCAGAACGGTTTGCTGGATGTGACCAGCGAACACGGCCGTTTCAGTCTGTCCTCTGCTGCTGATAGTGGAATACCACAGACTGGGGAATTTCTAAAGTGTAAAGGTTTATTCAGCTCACAGTTCCGGAGGGCCACAGTGAAGGGGTGGTATCCGGGGAAGACCTTCTTAATGGCAAGAACTCTGCAGAGTCCTAAAGCTGCATAGGATGTCACATGGCGAGAGAACAGGAGCATGTGTCGGCTCTGGTTCTGGCCTATGCCTCTCCCTCTTCGTATAGAGCCACCAGTAGGGGCCGGCGGTAGAGCGGTGGTTGAGGCACTGGACTCCCACATGGCTGCCCATAGTTCAAGTCCTGCACCTGGCAGCTTGCTTTCTCACTTTCCCTCTCTCCCAATGTCTCTCTCTGGTCAAATTAAATAATAATAATAGATAAAAATAAAAAACAAAAAACACCAGTATTTAATCAGGGGGCCCCACTCCAGCGACGACCTAATCCTACTTACTTCCAAAGACTCCACCTCTTAATACCATAGTCCAACTCAGTTTCCACTTTCTTAATACAATCATAATAGCAGGCAGATTTCAGCACGTGAATCCTGGGGGACACATTCCAACCGTGGCCATGGTGGAGAGCACGACAGGGAGTTGGGCCCTAGGGAACTGAGTGCCAGGGGGTTGTAGCCGGCGTGTTGGGTTCCACAGTGTGACTGAACCTGCAGGTGGGTTGAGGCGGACATGGGGAATAAGAGCACTGTGGTGACACGGCTCCCTCCAGAGACAGGCTTCCTGCGGCTTAGCCACCATTTCGCCACTTCCGGCTAACAACTAGACAAACGGCTCACTCATTTCCTCCCACACCTAATGCATAGCGATTGCCAATGCTCAAAAACCGCTTGGCCAAAATCTTCCACTTCCTGGGAAAGCAGGATATGGCCATTGGAACCTGTAACATGGCCCTCGATGTCCTGCGAGATCCAGAGCTCAACAGGGAGGCATACTGCACAAGGGCCAAGGTAGGCCAGCCCCGCCTCACCTCTGCTGAGATAGAAGCCTCTGTCCCCGCTGTGACCCATGATGCTTGACCTTCACTGCCCACTTCCCTCTGGTCATGCCTCCTTTCTTGCAGCCACCTCTGCCCGGGATCTTACTCCCAGGAATCTGACTGGCGTCCTCTCTGCTCCTACAGATCTTGACAAAAGGCATCAAAAGTAGTGTCTTATGGAGAATGTCAGTCTGTCTCGCCAGTATTTTATGTCCTTCTGTCCCGGCTTACTTCTTCTTCTCAGCACTAAGTACTCCCTAAGATACTATTTACTGATGTTTATTGTCTGTCTCCCTAACTAACATATAGGATCCATGAGAACAGGAACTTTATGTTTTTTAGTTTTTGCTATAGGGCGTGCACACTCACTGGAGAGAGAGAGAGAGAAATCACCCCCAGGGGGATGGCCACACTGAAATCCCTTCTCCATTCTCCTCTCAGGATTTTGGGCATGCACACGCATGCACCTGGCATGTTTGTCAAGCCACCAGATCCAGATTCCAACCATGCAGCTGGCCACATGGGATCCAGCTGCCACAGCCCCCACACCACCGGCCAGCCCAGGACAGGAGCTTTGTTCTCTACTGTATCCTGTGTCTGGAACAGTGCCTGGTGCAGAGCAGGCTCTGGGTGGGTCTTTGTTGAGTGAATGAACAGCGACCTTATACAAGGTCTCAACTAGAATGTGATCTCTCTGCTATCACTGTAATTCCCCAAAGAAAATATTAGTGAACCTCTTTTTTTTTTTTTTTTTCACATGTATACAATGAGGTTTACAGAGGTTGTGCCTCTTCCTCTGGGTCACTGGCTAATGGCAGGAAGGAGTGTAGTGGTAGACTAGAATTCAAACCCTACTCCAACCAAGCCAGGGATGCTTCTCCCAGCCTCCCATGGCTGTCCCCTAACTGTAGGCTCTGAGGGCTATAACACAGATAGATACCTTGACAGTAGACAATAATGACCTCTGTCTCCCTTCTAACTTCCTCCTGTCTACCCCTTGCTCCACCTCCCCAGCCTCTAGAATTTAAATCTCCGAATGAGTTGGGGGAAGTGGAAGAAGGGAATGAAAGCAAAGGTCTAGAACCATTGGTAGTTTGATACCGTCAGTTGGGAGCACCTACTGTTCTTCCCAAACCTCTGTTTACATAGAGGCTCACAAAATGGTGCTACCATTCTGTGTAAATGACCCATCCCCATTCACCCCAATCCCAGCCCCTGTTTATTTTGGCGTGGTACTTATCACTTGAAGTGCTTCAGTCTACTGGTTATTTCTGAATGTCTCTCCCCTGTAGAATGTGAAGTTCCACCAGGGCAGGGACTTCATCCATCTTGTCATTACCATACTCCAGTACCCACCTTGGGGCCCAGTACTGTGGGCCCTCAATACGTATTTGTTAAATGATAAATGAATGAATGGCTTTCATTTAATCCAACCTCCTCATTGTACAGACAGGGAAACTAACGCCCAGAAAAGAGGGAGTACCTAGCCCAGGTAGGCACAGGACTAGGACCTGGAATTCCTGCTCCCAGCCTCAGGGGCTTTCTGCTGCACCACAGAACCTCTCTGGATGCTGTTGAGAAAAAGGCTGGCATCACTGAAGGCGGAGGAGGGCAGAGGTCCTTGCTGGGAGCGTCTTTTCTGAGCCAATTCTCTGTCAGCAGATTCACATCAGAGCCTACCTTCATGACCTGGAGCGGGCCAAGATGGGGCTCGGGGGCATGCCTGATAGGAACCACCTGGCCTGTGCCAGGGCTGACCTCGAGGAAGTGATCAAGGTGTGCCCTGGCCTGAAGACCTACCTGGACATCAGCCAGGTAAGGCAGAGTCTTGGCCTAGTCCGCCAGTGGCTTACTAAGAACCCATTGCTCCCTAGCAGGCTAGTCTTGGGCACGAGGACCCAGAGAAGTGGAAGGGGCCTCCCGCTGCCTGGTAACAGTCCCCACCTCCTCCAGCCACAGTGAGGACTGAGATAAAGGGTGTACAGTGTTACAAACAGGGCCTGCCCTTTCATCTACAAGAGATATCTATTCTCTGTGCTCGGGATGGTTGCCACTAGGTGATAGTACCATACATTTTATTTTATCTTAATTAATTTATTTATAACTTGCTATAGGGCGTGTGTGCTCAACTAGAGAGAGACAGAAAGAAAGTGAGAAAGCACTCCCCAGGGGAAATGGCCACACTGCAATTTCTTCTCCTCCGTTCTCCTCGCAGGATTTTGGGCATGCTGGCACCCACCAGCTGTGTCTTTCAAGCTGCCTGGTCAGAACTAAGAGCAGTTGGCCATGTGGGAGCCAGCCGCCTTAACCACCATGTCACCAGTTGGCCCCAATACCATTCTTTTATATGAGAGAAAACAGATCCAGAGATTGGCTCCCTTGGGTTATATGGCTGTGTGTGTGTGCGCGTGCACGTGCTGGAACTGGAATCCGAGTACTGATTCTTTTTCTAGGGAGACTGAGGAATATAATTTGGGTTTCAAAATTGTCGAAGGAGGGAGAGTGGGGCTGAACGAACGAATGAGGGCAATTTTAGCAAAGCGCGGGGAAGGCAGAGCAGCAGCTCACACCGCCGCCCCACACCAGGTCTATTACTACATGGGCGTGGACGCGGTGCAGGAGCTGCTGGCGGTGGACGAGGCGGCGCTGAACCAGGCGCTGGTCTTCCTGGCCAAGGCCGGCGAGTCCGAGCTGGGCGCCATGCTGCCGGAGCTGCAGCTGCTACGCGGCAAGTGCCTGCGGATCAAGGGCGAGGAGGCCAACGCGGCAGCCTGCTTCAAGCGCGCGGTGGAGCTGGACGACGCGGGCTCCAGCCACACCGAGGGCTTCGGCTGCCTGCTCGAGGCGCTGCTGGCACAGTGGAGCCAGGCACAGCTGAGCGACGGCGAGCTGGTGGGCGAGGTGGACACCTGGCTGCGCCGGGCACAGGGCAAGTACCCCGCGGCGCGCCTGCGCCAGGAGCTGCAGCGTGTGTGGCGCGGCCACACGGACGAGGTGCTGGGGCTGGCCCGGGCCTTGGTGGCTCAGGGACGGCCCGCGCTGGTGCGGCTTCTCTTTGAGACCATGGAGCAAGAAGGTGAGGGTGCGCCAAGGGGTCGCAGGGCGTTTTCTTTCTGAGGCCGCCGTACCCAGGTCTGAGGCCACCAGACACCCGGCTAAGCCCCGCCCACTTAGGTTGGGTGGCCGGAGCCAATCAAATTCTTTTTCGGGAATTGTGAATGGGGCATTGAAGCACTAGGACAGTTTCAAGGGCAGCAGGCCTGACTCAGGAGGGCAAAGACATTGGGACCAGACCTAAGAGGCCACCGGGAAACTGCCACATGGGGGGACAGAATATTACAGACATGCAGAGAAAATAGGGTGGTGCGATGGTTTCTTCTGAGAGAAACAGAAGGGAGTGGCCCTGGGCGTGGCCCTTTTCTCATCCCTGCTCGGTCTCTGAAGCCTGAGTGCCTGTCTGTGGATCCTCCTGAGCCACCTGGTGGCCTTGTAGTAATGCCCCTTTATGCCAGGTGGCTGGAGGGGACCTCGGGTCCTGCAACCTGGAAAGGCGAGCTTGTACACTGAGTCAGTTTCCCCGCAGGGTTCGGCTTAACTAAACCGGGGTGCTCAGGCTCGGCCCCACCTCTGCACCCGTTTTCCAGCAGGCCTCATCCTGGGTCAGCTTGGACCGAAGGCCTCCCAAACTCTCTGACCTAAAGGCCAGATACAGAACCTTTATTGGACTCCCCTGTTCTCAAGGAACCTACAGATCCCCTCTGTTAAGGAAATGCCACTTGCCCCCACTCTTGAACATTCCACAAGAGGATGAAGAAAATCTTGGAATTGACACTCTCAGCGTCATACCCATAGTCTTAGGTGTGGAGTTTTTGTCAAAGGTGTAATCTCTGGTTGCCACCAAACCTTCGAATGAGTGGGCTGGGGTCTATAGCCTCACACATCAGGGCTTACTTGACCCCCAAATACCAGATTCCTTCTTGCCAGACTCCAGGAATGCTGGCTATGCAGAATTGCTACAGCAACCTCCCATGATAGTTTGCAATTTCCTCTTTTTTTGAGAGAGAGATTTTTGCAATAGAGTACATGCACTTGCCAGAAAATCAGAGAGAGACAGAGAGACAGGAAGCAAGAAATATCCCCCCCCCCCAAGGGGATGGCCACACCACAATCCCTTCTCCTCCATTCTCCTCTCGGGATCTTGGACACACACGCACATAGGCCTGGCTTGAGTTTAAGTCACCAGGTTCGGGATTCGAACTGCAATCTACTACATGGGAGTCCAGTGACATAGCCATTATGCCACCTGCTGGTCCCGGTTTGTGATTTCTTTTGCACAGTTTTCTTTCTTTGAAAAGCTATACCAGTGCTTTGCTCACTCCCTGTCCTCAGACGTTAGCAGAGGCAGCCAGCACCCTTGCCCTCTGTCCCGTATAGCCACTGACGGATGGAGAGCAGCCTGAAGCACAGTGCGCTGTTTTCCCAGCGCACTCCAGGGCTCTCGGTGTGCGCTGGGAAAACAAGTCACACCGGGAGGTGGCTTGTCCAGAGTCACACTTCCCACCCTCCCAGCCTGTACCTCACACTCACTTTCAGCATTTTTCAGGTTTGGAAAAATGCTAATAAACGGATTAAAACGGAAGTTCTGTTTCTGTGTTAAAGGTTTGTGTGTCACTTGTCCCACGGGGTACCCTGATCACATTTGGTCAATGCCCTGACACTAACGGTGGCATTCCAGCCAGATCGTGCCCTGTGAAATCTGGACAGTAAGGCCACCCTGAATTCATGGCTCATCCAGGCTCGCCACTGTGGATGGTGACATTCTTGCCCTTCCTCCTTCTCCTCTCACCTTCACTGCAGCAGAGCCTGGAGGTGATTCAAGAGCAGGAAATACACACAGTTCCGTCCACTTAGCTGCACCCCCCCCCACCTCTTCTCCACGCAAGACCGTGATCTGGACCTTCCCCCGGATGGGAACTGTTTCTTTCTTCTCCTGTTTCTGCAAACAGACATACTGGATTCCAGGCAGTTTGCCGGTGAACCACACAAGTTGAAGACATTTGTCTCCCCTCCACACCCCAGCTTCCCAGTTTTTCTTTTCTTGCTTTTCCTGTCCCCAGGGCCATGCATTTCTCCCTTCCTTACATTCCTTCCTGCCCCTCCTGCTGTAACCTTTTCAAGAAACTTCTTTTCTGACCATCTCATTCACACCGATCATGTAAGTGGTTTACAAATACCCACTACAGCTTGTCTCAGGGGTATCTGCGCATGAACCAAACCCCATTTCCCAGACTGCCTACTGTGTGCTAGGCACATGCATGTAGTCTAGTTTAATTCTCTCAACAGCCCTGAAGGATAAGCATTATAATCCTCATTTTACAGATGAGGAAACTGAAATCCAGAACCAGGTCACAGGTAAGTATGTGAAGAGTTGGGACTTGAACCAGCGAACCAGCCCCATTTGTGCTGCTCCTGGAACATGCCCTCCACTGGGGCATCTTCCGTTTAGAGTTGGATCTCCTCAGTGCCCTGGGAGCACCAGACCTCACCTATACTTTTACCTCGATCTCTGCTCGGACTACCTGACCTCTGTGCCTTGTACTCCCAGGAGGACCACCACTCCCATTCATTCACTCAACACATATCTACCTAGCCATGTGCCAGGCAGAGAGCCAAGCTCAGGGGCTGCAGTAGGGAACAAAGCAGTCCCTGCCCATGCCTTCAGGGAGCTCGCAGTGTAGACCATGCAGAGCAGCTATGCAAGCTTTAGAAAACAGTGTGGCAAGCTATTGAAGGCTTTAGGTGCAGAGCTGGCTACCCACACCCCTACACCAGCCATACTCATCTAGGGAGAGGAGCCTTTCCACAGCCCCGTGGAGGAGATCAGGGCTGTCCCTGGAGCTTGAGGCCTGGCCCTTAGACGCCCCTGTTGAGTGAGCCACAGTTAAGGCCAGGCCTGCTGGTCCCCTGGGCCCATAGCTCCAGCTGGTGGAGAGGCCAGTGGGTGAGTGCTTTCTATTTCATTACTCAAGCCCTGTAAGACACCGTGCCCATTGGGTGGCTGGGAGGACAGCCCACACAGAGGACAGACCTCCAACTGAAGCAGCAGGAGTCCCTCAGGAGAACCCTGCGGAGTGAAAGCCTTACTGACCTGGTAATCAGCGTAACGAGAGTGAGTCCCATTGTGTGGCCTGTCCTTTCCTTCCTCCATGACTAGCTGTCACCATCAGGCAGCCAGAAACTTCCATTCAGATAGCATGAGCAAGGCTCACTGAGGATCATGAAAATGGATAGGAATCCTCAGTTGTAGGGTTCCAGAACCTCAGAATTAGGAAAAAAAATCTTAGTCATCACCTCTTTCAGTGCCCCATCTAGAGCAGGACTTGCCTCTACAGTAAGAGTTCTGAAAGGAGGTCTAAACGCTTATGTGCCTGCAGCAGACAGGCAGCTCGCTACCACCTGGAGGAATCAATTCCATTTTCAGTAGGTTTAAATTGTACATTTGTCCTTCTCTTGAATCAAAATCTTCCCACTGTCATTTCTTTCCCTGGTTCATGTTCACCTTCTGAGGCCATACAGAATAGATCTTAATATGGGACCAGCAGTTGGCATAATGGCTATGTCGCTGGACTCCCATGTAGTCAATGGAGGTTCGAGTCCCAGGCCTGGTGGCTTAAACTCACACCGGGCGCATGTGCATGCATGCCCAAGATTCCGAGAGGAGAATGGAGGAGAAGGGATTGCAGCATGGCCATCCCCCTGGGGGGTGATTTCTGTCTGTCTCTCTCCGTCTTTCTGGCAAGCGCAGACACCCTATAGCAAAAACCTCTCCAAAAAGAAGAAGAAGGAGGAGAAGGAGAAGGAGAAGGAGAAGGAGAATAGACCCTAATAAGCAGAGTGGCCTTGAACAAGTCACATTCCCCAGGCCCATGATCTTGTTCTCTTTGAGTTGTTCAGAGGGTGATGGCTACTCTGACAGCTCCAGGCTGAGCTCTGGCCTGGCCTCCAGCTGCCGGCACCCAGCCCAAGACCTGCACAGACCTTCCAGCTAGTAGTGGAAGGAACAGAACAGGGCTCTTCCTGTCCCTCATCAGGCCCCGTGGGAGCATCCTGTGTGGATGATGGTGGCTGGATGCCAAATGAAGTGAAATATCTCCTTTTCTCAGGCTGTTAACTTTTTTCTTGTTTAAGGAAGGGGAGGATAATGACATTAGCACTTTACAACTCAGCAATAAAATAAGCAGATGGAAACAGATCCCCAGCAAGCCTGGCATGCTTCCAGCAAGACACCCTCCCGGCTCCATGGGGCCGAAGTCCTGTTGGGATTTACTGATGGGAGGCGCTTCCCTCTTCCTCCCCAGCTCCTCTCCACACACAGCCACAAACACTGCACACTTGGCTCTGCACCTGCCCTCATTTCCTGCTTCCATGCCCCTGCTGCATCTGTCTGACTACCCACAGCAGCTTGCCTGTCCCCAGGTCTGACTGGGGTATAACCTCTCCAGTTTTCAGGTGAGGAGAAGAGGAGAGGGATGGTTTTCATGAGGGCGTGATGAGCAGACTCTGGTGGCCTCAAGGTGGCCACAATTTGAGCAGGCAAGGATCCTACAGGGAAGTCGTAGGAAGTAGTAGAAAGCTGACAGTGAACATCAAAACTGTTCACCGAACACTTGCCATGGCCAGGTAGTGCACCTGCATTGCACGCCCTTACCCCGTGTAGTCCTCACAGGCCTGGAGGCCGTGTGATCCGTCTCGTTCCTGTTTCATAGATGAGGAAACCGAGGCTCAGAGAGGGTAAATGACTTTCCTAGGTCCTGAGGTCACACCGCACTATCAGGCAGGCTAACGAGGGTTAATGCATGGCTTTGTAACTACTTGGGGTTTCAATTACTTTCCCTCCTGTCACATACGTTGCCCTGAAAACTGACCATGTAAAATGTGGATAGGTTTTTCACGTTGATATTGCCAAACCAGTCGATAGCTCTGCGGTAGGGCTTGCGGTGGGGCAGGCTCTATTTTGGCATGTCAATAATATCGTTGAACTGCAGCTCCTGGGTGAGTTGTATGTGTCATCCACACAAAAAAAGAAACCAACAAAAGGACTCCTACTGTGATGGAGATACGGCGTTTCGTCTGCCAGCACCCTTCCCTGTCTGAAAGCACACTGCTCCTTCCCCGGCTCAGCATGTTTTTCAAGCCACAGGGTCCAGAACCCAAACGGCAGAGCTGGCCATGTGGGATCCAGCGCCCTAACCTCCATGCCACCTGCTGGCCCTAAACCTCTTTTCTTATAAATCCCCTGGTCTCAGATACTCTGTCATACCAACACAACAGACTGAGATGGAAGGAATGGCGTGAATACAGGGCGCAATGATGAGTGAGTTGGGGCTGCAGATGATTGGGCTTCCATCCCAGCAGGGACCTCTGGAACACTGTGCATTGTGCCCGAGAACTACCCTACCCCCAGAGCTAAGGAGGCTGGGGTATCTGTCCTTCAGTGTCCATTCATCCTTGACTGAAGATCCCTCCCAGGAGCATCACTGCCCAGTGCTTCCTGTGCCACATGGGCTGAGAACAAGCCCTCAGGTTTAATTGTTCCTCCCCCAGTATGAGTGGCGGTAGAAGTTGCCAATCATCATGTCCTGACCTCTGATTGCAAGAACAGACAAGTGACCCGAGTTGGGCCAATCAGAGTCCTTCAGAGAATTTTCTAACTCAGCCCAGGGGAAAGAAGATGCTCTCTGCTGGCACCGCTGTGAGTGACTGTCCCAGTTCAAATTTGGCTGTGAGCATTGAAGACCTGAAAAACAGAATCTGAAACAGGATGGCCATTTATCAATCCTGTCCTGCAAGGCCAGCTCAAGTATCACCTCAGAGTTCCCCCATATCTCCTGTGGCCACACCCACCTGGTACACAACCACGTCACCCTAGGGCAAGCATCTGCCACTCTCTACCTGAGGGTAGAAGGACAGATACCCCTCTCTGGTGAGTGATGTGCCCTACAGCAAAACTTTAAAAAGGAAAGCGATTTATTTGGCTCGTGATTCTGGTGGCTATAAAGTCCAAAAGCATGAGGCTGGCACTCACACTGTACGACAACATGGAAGAGAGAAGCAG